GAGGGATAAGAAGACAGAATTTAGTTGACTGCAGTCTGCTGCTGACATGTAGCAGTGAGATTTTAAACTCTGTACTTTAAGTGACATTTTCATCAAACTTAAGATTAAATTATGTTTTTTAAATGAACCTTTTGACACAGGTAACCCACAGTGACTAATAAACCTAATAAATATTTATTATTTGTGTCTGATGGTGGCCAGTGGTGGTTAGCACAATCGCCTAACATCAAAAAGATCCTTGCGTTCAAATCCACTGGAATGAAGTCTTCATGTTCTCCCCTTGTGTATATGGGTTCTCTCCGGGTACTCTGGCTTCCTTAAATAGAAAATGTAAACTGGCTGTAGGTGTGAATGGCTGTTTGTCTCTCTGTGTTGCTAGTAACTGTGCACAGTGTAGTTTGATAACTCTGGTATCAAAATGCATTAACTTCATCCACATCATAGGTTAGCCTTTTTCCTTTACAGCATCTCATCGGTTTGTTTCTCTGTCACTACAGGAACAAAGAAGCAACAACCGACAGAGACCTTGGCACTCTTCCGATGATGACAATGCTAACCTCACACAAGCAAAGAGAGGGAAATCATTCACTTGTGGTCTTTGTGCAAAGAGCTTTATCACAAGGAAGCAGCTCGGGAGACACCAATGCTTCCACAATAAGAAAAGATGCTTCTCTTGTGATGACTGTGGAAAGTCTTTTACTACAAAGAGTAACTTGACGAGGCATAAGCTTATCCACACTGGGGTTAAACCATTCAGCTGTGACCAGTGTGGAAAGTCTTTTACTTCGCAAAGCGTCTTAAAATCACACCAACTCATCCATGCAGGAATTAAACCATTCATCTGTGATGAGTGTGGAAAGTGTTTTACTCACCAAAAGAACTTAAAATCACATCAACTTATCCATGCTGGAGTTAAACCATTCATCTGTGGTGAATGTGGAAAGGCTTTTACTGAAAAGAGTAACTTGACGAGGCATAAGCTCATCCACACTGGGGTTAAACCATTCAGCTGTGACCAGTGTGGAAAGTCTTTTACTTTGCAAAGTGTCTTAAAATCACACCAACTTATTCATGCTGGAGTTAAACCATTCATCTGTGATGAGTGTGGAAAGTGTTTTACTCGGCAAAGTGACTTAAAATCACACCAAATCATCCATGCTGGAGTTAAACCATTCATCTGTGGTGAATGTGGAAAGGCTTTCACTGAAAAGAGTCATTTGACAAGGCATAATCTCATCCACACTGGGGTTAAACCATTCATCTGTGGGGAGTGCAGGAAGTCTTATACTTCGCCAAGTGCCTTAAAATCACACCAACTTATCCATGCAGGAATTAAACCATTCATCTGTGATGAGTGTGGAAAGTGTTTTACTCACCAAAGGAACTTAAAATCACACCAACTCATCCATGTAGGAATTAAACCATTCATCTGTGGGGAGTGTGGAAAGTGTTTTACTCACCAAAGTGCCTTAAAATCACACCAACTCATCCATGTAGGAATTAAACCATTCATGTGTGGTAACTGTGGGAAGTCTTTTACTCTGAAGGGTAACTTGAAACAACATCAGCTCATCCACAGTAAAGCAAAACCTTAAAGTTGTGACTAGAAATGCACCAGTTCTACGTTTGGTTGGTATATCAGTCTGATCCAAATGAGTCAACAAGTTGGATCAGATATCGGTGCAAATCTATTCCTGTTCACTGACTTCAGTTATGTTTTGTGTAACACTTGTTTAGAAGATTTTACTGCGGTCACAGCACCATGAAGTATTGCTACCAACTCAGTTACTATCGTTTCGCTTCAGGTGTTTCAGGTAAACTCGATGAACAAAATATGAGAACAAGGGACAGAGTTCCTGTATGCATTCGTTAAAACATTTTTGAAGCTTTCAAGCAGATTGAAACAGTACCTCTGTATTTTTACTTTGTTTGTTATTTTGTAAGTAAAAAGCAATACTTGGTAGATTAATACTGGTTCATGCAAATTTATTGAGCTATATTGTTTATTTCTTGTGCTTCTTGGGACTCTGTTTTGGTTGCTGGTCACATAGGTGTGGTGAGTGTTGACTGTTTGTTGCTGGTAGATTTTTCTCTGGTTCTCTGATGTTCATTTAATATAAAACTGTTAAATTTACACTGTCTGATGCTACAACCTGCCAAATTAACACTATCATTTTATTGTTAGCATAAGCTGCTAGTTGCTACATTAATGAGGTCCATGCCCCAGTTTATTGGTGTGTTGTTGCCATAAAATTCAAAATGTTCTTTTTTCTTATAATTGTACATTTTTTTATCAGTTTTTGTTTTCAACATTTTATCATGTGTAAAACATGTCTTTATAAGCTTTTAAATCATTGCATCCTGTTTGTAACTATCTTTGTGTCCATTTTTGTTTTTACATATTTACTTTTTATTCAGGGCATTGGACACAGGGAAAATGGGAGTCTGATTCCCCAAAATCCAAATAAAACAGTTTTTGCAGTGTAAAGGTTGTGTAGTCCTGATCAAACTGAATTAATGTTTTAGTCAAATGGGTTTAAAACACAGAATTGAACTTAATCTTTAGCTCATTTTCCAATGTTCCCTCACTGCTTAAAAAAACCATTTGATTTTTATCATGTACACTGAAGTTGAACGATTCAGCTGGGACCAGTGTGGAAGGTCTTTTGCTCAACAGTTCACT